GTAGCATGGGCTGGCCTCCAGTCCTCCAACCTCGTGTTCATTGAGATTATAGGCATGTGCCACCAAGCCTGGTTTGTTTTCCTTTTGATCTCAGCAAACACAGACTGAGGTTGGAGATTATTTTCTAATAAAATCGCACTTTTCCAAGATCAAATGCATCAAAAATATTACCATAAAAGCTATAAAAACTTTATGTGAAGGCTAATTTTATGTCAGCTTGATACAAAATACCTTAACTAAGAAAATATCCCCACCAGATCAGCCTGTGGACAAACCTTTGGGGGCATCTTTTCTTCTTGATTGGTGACTGATGTAGAAGGACGCAGCTCACTGTAGGAGGTACCATCTCTGGGCATGCATTCTGGGGTTGTATACTAAAGCAGGCTGTGCAAATCATGGGGATCAATCCTGTAAACAGCTTTCCTATATGGTTTTTATTTCAGTCCCTGCCTCCCAGTTCCTTCCTTGAGTTCCTGTCCTGTCTTTCTTCAATAACGGACTATGATATGAAACTATTAACTGAAATAAACTTTATCATCCATACTCCCCTAATGGAAAACAAAACAAAATTAAAAAAAAACTTCACCAGATAATGAGCACTAAAGCAACAGAAGGTAAAACATAAGAAAGCGTAAGCTTATAGAATTCTTAGGAAAGAGCTTTTGTGTTCACCTTAATGCTTAGCTTCTTTAGGATCATGAACTATAGGCTCAATGTCCTTGTTGATGGCTAGAACCCTCTGAATGTGGTTGACAATTGGGACAGACTGAGGGGCCAACGATAATGGTACTAGGATTTGTATCTACTGAATGTACTGGCTTTTTGGGATCCTAGTCTATTTGGATGCATACCTTCCTAAGCCTGAACCACAGGGAAGGGTGCCTTGTCCTCTCTTAGGACTGGAGGGGGGTTGGGGAAGAGTGTGTGGGGAAGGGGGAGGGAAGTGAGAGGAGAGGAGGAAGTGGGAATTTTGATTGGTATTATTTATAAAGTAATAAAAGAAGAAAAAAGAGAAAAGGCTTTTGGGGGTGTAATGGGGGTGTATGTTTCAGATATTTACCAAAACTGAGGTGGACCCTGACCTCAGGGATAGGGAAGGTTTTCTTCAATGAATGAGTTAATCAAAGCCTAATGAACAGATGGGCGAAAAGACTCTCTCTCTCTCTCTCCCTCTCTCTCTCTCTCTCTCTCTCTCTCTCTCTTTCTCTCGTGTGTGTGTGTGTGTGTGTGTGTGTGTGTGTGTATACATGCATAAAAATGTAAATAAACAGAGTGAAGGTCAGAACAGGGCACACCGTGACAGTTTATCTAATCCTCATCTCCCTTGGGCCTCACTGATGTAATCACCCAGTTTCCACCAGAGTGAAGCCTCTTACTCGTTCCTGGTTAACAGTATTAAACTGGCTGGGACAAGACCGCTGGTGCATGCACAGATGGACGAGTGCACACGATGATATTTATGACAGCAATGAGCACACACACAGGCTCTAACGTAATCTACATTATCTGTTATCACCCTGGCTTTGATGCTGAGAAAATGGAGGCCCAGCCAGTCCTGTATCCTGGTCAACACCACACTGCTGCTAAGTAGGCAAATCCTCCAGGCTTTCTGAGCTCTGCTAACCCTTTAATGTGTAGAGAGAGGATCGAGCTGTACTTTGCAAACGGCCTTCTGGATCATTGCGCTCTCTTATTCCTCATTAACTCCACCAAATCCTGTGTAATTTAAAAACAATCCAAATTTTCCAAAATCAAACAATTTCAATGTATCATCAGTTGGCAATCATGCCAATTGGGAGCTCTCTGGGACGCCAGCATCTAATTGATTTCGCATAAATGCATTTCTTCAACATTCCATTGTCTCAGCTCATTAATTATTTCATTTGGTGCCTCACAGTGAAGACAGAAAGAACTAGTACTCTCACTGCATGGGTTAGATAGAACTACTGATCAGCCTCCAGCAGTCACATGGCCTGGGTTTCTACCCAAAAAAAACTTGATTTCATAAAATCCTACCATTTAATCTCTTAAATTAGCAATCAAAATGCCCTGTAAATTTTAATATTGTATTGGCTAAAATCATCATTCTCTTTTCCTAACCAAGCATTTTCACTAATTGTAAGGGATGGTTTCCATGGCACTCTAGGCTCTGCTAGCCCTCAACTGAGCCTTCATGCAGTGCAAAGCACAGAAGGCAACAGACACAAAGGTTAATGACCCCAGGGAGATGTAGGGAGGACAAAATGGGGGTTTTAGAGTGGGAATCAAAACAGCATCTTTGGAGCCTGGAGACAGCTCTGTGGGTGCTTTTGGTTAAACGTGATGGCCTATGCTCAACCCCCAGGACTCACATGAAAACCTGGGCATGGTGGAGCCCATTGTAATGTCAGTGCTGGGGAAGCAGACAAAAGCAGATCCGTGGGGCTCACTGGCCCAACAGTCCAGCCTACTCATCGTTGAGGTGACCCATTCAGAGAACCTGTTTTCATAAACAAGGTATACAGATTCCAAGGAATGATGCCTGAGGTTGACTCTGGTTTTTCACAGACAAGCACACATATATACATGCACCCTTACACATACACACACACACACACACACACACACACACACACACACAGAGAGAGAGAGAGAGAGAGAGAGAGAGAGAGAGAGAGAGAGAGAGAGAGAACGCACAACCCTTTGGAGAAAGATATATAATGCATTTTTAACCAATCTCAATTTCCAAGCAATATATTTGTAAAGCCTATATTCATCACTTTTGCTAATAACAGCCATCATTCAAGCTCAACTCTCATCTAGAGGAGACACAGATCAAAGCGACCATGTTTATTTGTGTCTGTCTGCTGCTAAGCTGGGTGCCTGTCACTGTCTACAGTTCCTCAGTATATTTTGCTTACAGCTGCATTGTAATAAATAGATAGGTACTTTGGGTTATACGTCCTGTTCATCTCGCTGCTGTTTATGGTCCCCTCGGGCACTTTGCACAGGCTCTGTTAGTTTAGAAATAACTCTCATGTTTGGCTATTCTCCATTAAATAAAAGATAGTTTCTTTAAAAGAGAGAAAAGAAGGCAGAAGATGTGGCTCATCTGGTAGAGTGCTTGCCTAGCATGCTTGAGGCCCTGGGTTTAATCCACAGCACTGAGTAAATGTGGTGGCTTATGGAAGCAATTCCTCAGTGAATTCAAGGCCAGTCTGATCTGCAGAGCAAGTTCTAGGACAGCCAGGGATACCTAGAGAGACCCTGTCTCTAAACAAACAAACAAAAAACACAAATGAACAAACAAAATAGGCACAACTAGATCCTAGAACACATTCCTGCTTCTAAAGTTGTAAAACTCAAGCTATGTGCTATGCTGGATCTGGCCTCACCACGGACTAATGACGGTTGTGCTCTTCTTTCCTTTTGAACATAAGTGCCCATGATCACCTCATTCCTGCCTTACCACAGCATGTTGGAGTGTCACGAGGGCATATGAACAGTATTTTAAGCTCATGTGTTTCCAAAGCAGGAGAAGCTCGCATGCAGGTCCAGGCAGTGAGCCTTTCACGCCATGGATTCGATTGCATTTCGAGGAATGCAAGAATTTGTATTTTGCATGTGGAAGAGAATGACTTGCTGTGGTCAGAAAGTGGTCTGTGGTATATCATTTCCAAAGATGGCAACCAACTGGTCCACTCAGTTCTTGGATGTGTCTCCTTTTATCTTGTGTCTGTATGACTTGTTTAATCCAATGAATGATGGATACAGTAATCTGGAATGCCAGGCTCCAGGTTAACAAGCCTCTGAGCTTCTCTTCTTTTTCTTTTCTGGATCCAACCACAATATAGAGAACTCAAGTCCATTTACAGACTTCTAAGAGAGACCAGTGAGCAAGCCAGCCTTTCCACATATTTCATCCCTCCAGTTGAGATGCTGACTATATTCCATTCATTCTGGATCCTCTGGTCCCAGTAATCCATCCCCCAGTAACTACAGAAATTACTGGCTGTGAAACCCTACCCCAAACCAGAAATAAGTAAATGATCTTTGTTTTTCTAGTCAGTAAATTGTGGGTGACAGATACTGCAACAGTAAAACACAAAACACACGCTTAGGTGGTTGAAGTAGGGAACACAGTGAACACAACGTAATTTATAAATTTACTCAAAGATTTTAGTATGACCATTGTAATTTTGGTTTGTTTCTACTTATTTTCTGATAACCATTACTTAAAATAGCCAGAGTGGTATAATTTGATGAATAACAGATTTCAGGACAGCAATATACAGTGATGATAAATTCTGCCAACATGATTTGTATCCTAAGCAACAAAACTAATTTGACCCATGATTCATGATAAATAAAGGACATTTAAATATGGTCCAATGGTCATATACATGGATAGGAGCTCAATGCAAACCACCATGGTTTTACCAATTATAAATAAAAAGATATTAAAAATTACAAGGATCCATTTTTACTCGAGACTATTTAATTCAGAAATTAATTTTTTCTTATCCACCCCAAAATGACAGAGTCAAAAATACACAATGGTTCTGGGACATTTGACTTCACTATTTAAAAAAGTTAACTCAGAGGCCTTGAAGGGGAGTTGTAAGACATACTTTGACCAAATACATGTCTCAGCAGACAGATAGATGTGTAAGCCTACATACTACATTTGGCAGAATTCTAGGCTGTGTGTTGAAAGGTGCTAGTTATGTGGGTGGTATCCTCAAACCCATGCTGTTTGGCAGCACTGTACAGAGAGCCTCTTGTAGACAAAGATGAAACATGATTTTGCCCTGAAAAAAAAACTGGAGTGCTTATAGTAAACGAATGACACACAGCTAGCAAAGGAACATCTGTCCAAACGTATAAACACATAACTGTTCATGATCTCTGGGGGAAGGTGGAGTTTGAAAGCTGAGCTGCTCTGGTCGTGTGGAGGGTAAAGGCAGCAAGGAGTGTAAAATGCACATAAAACCATCACAGTCATAGAGGATGTGTCTTACCTGACATGCTGATGGGTGGGTGTGGTTAAGGTCCCAATGGGAAGACACTATGTCAACTGATTTCTTGGCCATGTTGAGTAAGTTCATCCAGCCATGGAAAAGCGGCAGGTGAAATGGGGCATCTTCAGAGTAGTTAAGGCCTTCAGGAATGTTCTCCACAAGGGCGATTCTTAGAAAAGGTTTCGAAAGACAAACAAGCAAAAGCTAGTTAGATTTGAAGCCACTGGTCTTTCTTCACACATGCATACAGAGAAACATGGAGAGTGTTCCTTCAGTTTTCTGATTACATTTTTTTTCTAGCAATTTATGTTTGTCTACCAAAGGCCTCTCTCATATTCCCTTCCCTAACCTCGGGTGTTTTGAAATTGATGCTGTTTCTCCTTAGCACTCACTCATATCTCAGAAAAATCTAGTATAGCCACGAATGTTGTTTTAAATTAACCTTGAAAACAAAAATATACCAAGGTTTCCTATATAAGTATTTTCTTCAGAAAGATATTCCTAATGTTTCTTCTGGAACAACCCAATTTTTTAATAAGATATTACTTCCAGAATCTGTTTGAGAGCATGAATTAAAATTTTCATATCTGCAGTGTCCTATACAATGATGGATATATATTGGAATATATGTAGTTATTATGGTTTAACACTTCTATGGGTGCTTCCAAGCTCAATGAGAAAAGCAACACTGAGAAGAAAGTTATAAACTTCCTGGCTCAGGCTTCATTGAAGTAAGAGATAAAGAATATGTAAAATGATGGTAATAACCACAGCTTAGACAAATGCCAATCAACAGCAACCAAGCAATCTTTCTACTTTCATATTTTTAATATAATGGGAACATGGCTACTGTGGGCACTTGTGTTTGACATTGCCATTCAAACTACTTTTCCCACTACCGATTTAGATGGCAAATAGACTCGTTTCTGTTGTTTATTTTTGAGATTGCATTTTAATAACTATTTTCCCTTCCCTTTCCTTCCTTCCTCCAAACTCTCTCATATAGCCCTCCCCACTGTCCTTCAATTCACAGTCCCCTTTTTCATTGTAATTGCAGACACATAGCATCTTAATGAAAGGACGAATAATTTGTTTCCAGTTTACTAAATGCATATTCTTCTATAAATGGATAATTCCCCAACCTCATGAAATCATGTGTTAAATGTTTCCAGAACAATGATCTGTCTTATTCATGGTTGAATATTCAGAGACAGGTGCACCGTTGGGGGCCGGGATGGAGCTCAGTGGTGGATCATGTACTTGTTGTGCATGAGGCCATGGGTTTGATTTGAGCATCACACATACACACACACACACACACACACACACACACACATGCACACACACATACACACACACACACACACCTTTACCACACAACCAGACTCAATAAATAATTATCAAATGATAATTTTTATCTCTCAATGCATAATTCATCATTTCTTAGTAAAAATTTTAACTGCTATTTTTTTGAGACTTTATTTATCCATATTAAGAAATAAAAGAATGTTGCTAACAAAACGGCCTTGTATAATTGATGAAACTAGACTATCAGAGCTAGACTGAGGTTTGGGTATGTGGCCTAAGACGTACTCAGTGTTGAAGTCCAATCATTCTACTTCTACCTATGAATTCACTAATGCTTGTTGATTTCCCAATAGGGAAGGACAGTCAAGTCATACATGGAACACAGAAGTGACTAAAAGTTCTTCTTGCCTCCCAGAAACTTAAGATCTAGTGTCCCAGACACCCTGACTTCAATAGGAGGCACACTGCAGTGAAAGACAAGACATGGGCAAAATGGATGATTGGAACTTAGGCAGAGAGGAAAACTAATTCTGGTTAGGGACATCTGGAACTGGAGGAGACTGGACCTGTCATGAATCTGAGGCGCAGGAGCTGGGCAGAGTAAGCCAGATGATGTTCAGGGTCAAGGGAAAGGGTTGGTATATCTGGACATTTGTGAGTTGGTGAGCCCAGAAGCAAGTGAGGTAGGAGAGTGTGAGAGCGGAGTAAATTAAAGGGCTCTGTCCAATTTCAACTTCTTTTCTAGAGGCTCCACACAGCCTTAGGGTACTCCCTCCCCACAAACAGAATGGGCACATTTCTCCACTCTGCCTGCCGCTTGGCAGCACCACAGGACTCAGATACCTGGTCTGAGGGTTTTAACCACAGTTGTACTTCTTCCCTGATCTTCCCTCTGGACTCTGACACAGCAAGTGCACCCCTCAAGTCCCAATTCCTATACCGGCCATTGAGTGACCATAATAAACCTTCTCATTTCCCAGACATCATTTCTCTTTAGGCTTTCTTATTTCCACAACATGGGTCACATTTCCTTTTCTTTAGTCCTCATGGTGAATGGTTCTTCCCCTGTCATCCTGTACGTCACTCTAAAACAATCCCATGTCCAAGGCTGTGTTCCTGGATGGTGTGTGTGTGTGTGTGTGTGTGTGTGTGTGTGTGTGTGTGAAGCAAGGAACACGCTCCAGGCTTGAACATGGTCCAGTCTTGCATCCCCAGTACATACTGCTCATAAGGTGCCCAAAGAATCAGTGTACTTCTTTCACTAAAACCTAAACTGTAAAGATGGGGGTTAAGTCAGTTAAAGACAACAAGGAACTTGGAAAAGAGGTAAAATGGGACTTGACATGGTTATGAAGGTAGAAAAGATGAAGAGAAAATCTCCCTAAAGTCTGATGTAAAAGAAATGCCTGTTTTTCTGGTTGGTGGGATGTGAAACAGAGGAGACCACTCCTCTGTTTCACAGGGGAGTCTCAGAGGGGACTCAGTGGTCTCAGAGGGGACCACTGAGGAAGGAAGCCAATCCAGGCTCAGGAGAAATGAGTGTTTGGGAAGTGTAGGTGAGAGAGGGTTAAACGTTAGCTACTCCCAAACGCACAGAGGCAGTAGACAGTGGCTGAAGGTAGATATTTAATTCCAACCGCGTGTGAAGCCCAGTTATCTGTTAGTGGAAGCTGGACACAGCAGGAATAAATGACTCTAGAGCATAAGCAGTTTCAGCCCCCTGACAAAGAATGCACACATCTCAAGACCTCCCAACAGATGCTAAAGCCTCCCCCATCAAACTGAAGATGCGAACGAAGGTGATAGAGTGATGGTACCACTGTAGACTGCCCCATGCCAAGCCACTCTCTCTAGGGTGCCAGGCGGCCTCTACTGGGCGTGTAAATGAGTCAGGATACCTCATCTCCTGTGGAAACCACGGCGTTTTTCTCTTTGAATCTTCAGCTAGAATTCATGGCTAATCTATGGACTTGGAGTTTTGACATTTTTATTTTCCTTAATCTTTGATTACAATTTAGCATTCTCTTCATGTATGAACACAGGAAACAAATCAGAGAAATTTTAGCAGAATCTTTTATTTGGACAGTATTAAGAATTTTCATAACTTTAAATCCCTGCACTGGGAAGCAGAATCAGGTGGACTTATGAGTTCAAGGGCAGAGAGAGCTGTATATCAAGAGACTGTCTAAATTTTTATTTTATTCATTTTTTATATCTAGTTTTTTTTCTATTTCCCACAAAAGAAGGGCAGAGAGATTGGAAGAGGCAGAGGGAGTGGATCTCTGCAGGAAAACATAGTTATTGGCTATGGCAGTGCAGTTATACATAGGCACTCACAAAGACTGGGACTGCATTCACAAGACCCACACCAGATCAGACCAGTCAAATGCCCAGCAGGCATGAGGGAGGTCTCTGGAGCTCCATCACTAGCTGAGAGAGCCATAGGAAGTTGATGGCCGACAGAGAACAAGGTCACTTTTCTTCAGGGATGCAGGTCTTGAGACACTATCCCACACACTCTGGTAAACAATCCCACATCCATGAGCATGCAGAAAACTCTAAATAGACTTGGTGGGTTCCAAATTAGATGAGAGGGGGAGAAGATGATGTTGAAGGAAGAGAGAGAGAAGTTGAAGTTGAAAGGAAAATGTGGGTGGGGGATACGGGAAGATTTGGAAAGGAAAGAAAAGAAATTGGGGTGGTGACCTAGATCCAAAGACATTATATGCATGTATAAATATTAAATAACTTAAAAATATTTTTTGAGACCATGATGTCATGCACATTATGCTTCACAGTGCAGGAATAAGGAGCATGTGTGCTGAGTGGCCCGTCACATTTCACAAGAAAGCACAGCGTTCTGAGGTGACTGTCTGCTGTGTTTTCTCCAATGTTTCCATGTGGAAAGTCCTCAGCCTTCTCAATATCAGGGTTGCTCACAATTGAGACTCCTGGGAAGTTGCTAAGTCTATACCTGTAATAATATGGAGCCTTAGCCAAGCTGTGGTGGCACACGCCTTTAATCCCAGCACTCAGGTGTCAGAGGCAGATGGATCTCTGTGAGTTTGAGGCCAGCCTGGTCTACAAGAGCTAGTTCCAGGAATGTTCCAAAACTACAGAGCAAATCTATCTCAAAAAAACCAAAATAATAATAACAATAACAACAATAATAACAATATAACAACAATAATGATATGGATCCTTATTTGTCATGGTCAATGGGGAGAAAACAGATACTGTAAATTCAAGAACAATAGACCAGTAAATTCTGTGTTCCATGAACTTCCCAAAGGCAGTTTGTCTTGACAATATGGAAACCTCAGATTACTCTCAGAGTAATACAGATATTGAACCTGTAGCTTTCAAATGTGAAAACAGGTCACATTTGTATCTCCCATTTAGGAAAAAACAAACAAATAAACAATAACAAAACAAACAACAACAAAAAGAAGCTGGTACTAGTCCTGACCTGAGGAAGGGATTATTTATGACTGAAATGTTAAATCTTAATTCTCTAAAAACATCTATTTTAACTCAACTACAGATAATTTACATCTGAACAACATTAATAATTTGTGATATCATCTCTAGCATGAGGGTGCTGTGTTCCAGGAAGAAAAGATGCATCCCCACTTGTTAGACTATCCTGGCACCACACCCACAGTGTACCATGTCACAGGACTTTAGCCAATAAGGGCTTTTAAGGATGCAGGTTCTGAAGAACAAGTCAAGCCTGTGATGCAGATGGTCACTCCTTTGCCATACCTTAAAGGAGCTCCTGCACAAGTATCAAAGATGACACATGCAATGATCCTGAAGAGTAGTGGAGGGGGGAAAGAAGAGGTGGGGAGGAAGAAGAGG